CGAACAGTATATTCAATATGACCAGTTGCCCATGCTCGAAGATGTTCAATTGAACCAACTTCAAATCTTTCACTATTTGATAAACTGGTTGAATTAAATGAACCTAATAGATGACTCTAAATAAATAAATAAATAAATAATTATAAATATTATTTATTCAAACAATATTTTATCATATTTTATCTTGTTTTTAAAGATTAACTTGTATAATCTTGACTTTTTAATAATAGAATAGAAAAAAAAAAATAAGTTTGATTTTTAACAAAAACCTACTGATCGATAAAGTTTATATTTATATAATTTATTTAATCGATATTTTCTTTTAAATGAAAGCACATAGACAAAATAGTATTATTTTCAAAATTTTCAAATAAAAAAAAAAGGCAACAATATGTTGAATATTAAGCAAATCATTTTTATTAATTCGAAAAAAATGTCTATTTTATTAATTAATGATATTTTATGAAAATATTTATTAAATAAATATAAATTTGTTCGATTTTAATTTAATTTCTATTATTACTTTTTTTTTTATAAAAAAGTTTTATAAAAAAAAAAAGAATTTTATCTTTTTAATGAAATTATAAAATAATAAATTGAATAATTAATTAAAGAAAAATAAAAATCTTTTTCAATAGAAATCAAATTATTCTTTTCTTGTCATAGAAAAGAAAAAAAGAAAATTTTTTTGTTATTACCTGTTCACCAATCGATGATTTGTTTTTTGAATCTATTTCCTGAAGGGATAAGGTCAAAATAGCATGCAAACAAGCAAACAAACAAAACAAACAAAAGAAAAACTAACTAAACAAAATCTACCTCATTAAAGATTGATAATTGTGGCCAAACTCGTTGATACATTATTCTCCACCATGATAAAAGAAAATCTCTTTGTATATCACTTTGTCCATCTAAATTACCTGATAATTGTTCATTTTGTGGATTATATGTTAAATGCCATGGTTTTAAACTACCAGCAAAATGAATAAGACGAATTTCATTACGAAATCTATTTGAAAATTTTTCTTTAGATTTATTTATTTGAAAATAAATTCATAAATATGTATATATATACCTTGTAACTGCTGGTAAATATGAATAAAATGCATTTGATGTAACATTATAAATAAATGGTAAATGTCGAGAAATATCCGATGAACGCCAATTTGAAAAAAATTCATTTAAAAGACCTTGATCACCACCTTAAATAAAAATAAATAAATAAATAAAAACTAATAAAATTAATAAAGAAATCCAACCATCAAATGAAGCATCTTTTTCTGATGCAAATAACATTAACTTTCTAAATGTTTCTTTTGATGGACGATAAACAAAAACTCCTGAATTAAAACAATCAGGCCAACCAGCATCATGTGCAGCAGAAAATTCTTCTCTTTCAAATAAATCATCTATTTCACGTAAAACAAAACAATCCGAATCCAAAAAAACACATTTTGAATATTGTTCTAAAAGCCAACAATTTATTTTTGTAAATGTTATTCCAAGTTCTGGACGTGATAATAAACGTAAATGTTCAATATCATTTGAATTTAATTCTTCAACAAGAATAACTTCATCAAAATTTTTTTCTAATGTTTTTCTAAATAAAAATTAAAATTAAAAATAAAGTTTTTTTTTTCGTTTTTAATATAAATAATAACCTTAATGAATGAGATAAATTATTTGATATAAGAACAACTAAATTTCTACTTGTTCCAACTATACGAATTGATTGAGCAAGAACAACTGCTCCGATTGCATAACCATCGTTTGTTACTAATGTTACAAATGCTTCAGACGACATTTATTTAATATACTCTACGACAAATGATGATTATGCCCTTGGAGCACTTGTTCTTGCTCAATCAATTCATTTAGTTGGAACAAAACGAAATTTAGTTGTTCTTGTGTCAAATAATTTGTCTGATTTGTTAAAGTAATTATTTTAATTCTAAAATAAAAAAAAACTTCTATATTTATTTATTTTAAATTTAGACGAACATTAGAAACAAGTTTTGATGAAGTTATTCTTGTTGATGAATTTGATTCAAATGATAATGAACATTTACGTTTATTATCACGTCCAGAACTTGG